GGCATCAACTGAGCTGCATCTGTGAAAGGACTGACATCGTGAAGGAGTGCCCCAAGTTCAAATGTGGTTCAGAAACCAAAGCTATTTAGGGAAGTCATAAAGCCTCTGTGGCAGAGAAGAGCTACTCCTTCACCACACTGAAAGCCAGGCCATGGGCCACGGAGGCAGCCCAGCCACCTCCACACAACCACCACAGTGCAGAGGAACTGCTCTACCAACAGCTCAGCTCTGCCTTCCTCCAAAGCACTGCTTGGACTCTGAGTCTCACCCCTGGTCCAGAGCCTGCAGGGTATGGGGAAAAAATGCTAAATTCACACAAAGAGATAAAATATTCTAGCCACCTAAGAACTGAAAAAGTTACTTTTCTGGAGCATCTGACAACAGAGTTCACCCAGCATGGATCTGGATCAGCCCAGCCTTCTACAGGTTGGAGCGAGAATCCATTACTTTGAAGGAGCAGAGTCTGTAACTCTTAATTGGGAAAGGTAATCAAGAAAAAGCTCGGATGGTTGGGATTTTAGTTAATTTTGCATTAGAATGTAATAATTAAAACAACAAGGACATCTAAGCAGCAAGTGCAAAGCTACATTTTAAGTGGTTTATCCACCCACAACTCAAACATCCACTATTTTCTCTGCAGATTTACAACATTAAAATAGCCCTTTCTCAGACTGGCAATGGAACTTCGTGCCCCCAAACGTGGAGCAGATGCATTTTGCTGAACGCTTGTGGAAGAAGAGACATCTGCAAGATGATTCTTTCCCCTATTTTCCTTTTCACTAAGGAAGGCCATGCCAAGCCAATGTACTCCCAAAAGCAAGGCAGGTCCCCCTTGGCAAGAGTTGCCCCCTGGACCCAGGGGACTGAGCTCAGCTCACCCATGTGGAGCTGGAGAGGAGCACACACCTCTCCTGACTCCAGGAACAGGCTCTCACACAACAGAGCCTGTATAAACACATCCATTTTGGTGAGGAAGGTCTTATTATAGTTTCGGTCAAATATTTAAAAAAATACAAGTGTCACAACTAAAAGAAAATCTGATTAAACAGCCAAAGCCATTTAATCATATTTACAGAAGCTACAGATAACGTGAACACAGCTAGAGTCAGCTAACACTGACCAACATCGGTCACAGCACACACATACTGGGACCAGCTTGTTACAAGGCAGCTGATCACAGGGTTGAAAGAGAGGAAAACACTTTATGGGCAAAAATCTCGTATCACTGCCCCCTCCTCCAAAGTCTTCTTTCCTCTCCCCTCCCAAGTTTGGAAACTTGGGCTGCTCTGGGTTCTCTCTCATCCTGCCACTGGTTTGCACTCCGAGCCAGCAGCCCTCGTGCTGAGCATGCCATGAAAGCAGGCTGGCTTTTCCACTGGCAGCCAATCCCAGGAACAGCTTCCTCAACCAGAGGCACACTTGGTAGAACATCACATGAGATAAATTAGAGGATCTGAACCATTTCACCCTGAAACACAGGGCCTTAGAGCAAGACAAACCACGAGATCTGACCTGCCCTGGGAGCCATCACGTGGCTCTGCACAAACCAAGCAGCACCAAGGGGCACTTGAGCAGCATGAGCAAAACCACGTGCAGAACTGCACTCCTCAGAGAGCAACACCCAGCACAGGGACTGCCTCCACCTGGAGATTCTATGGGTCAGCCTCTGTCCTCTCCTGCACTTAAAAACCTGGAACCACGTTGAAACAGCTTAACCAACAGCCCCAGACTGATCAGACACAGCCAGAGCTACGGCTTGGAAATAAGAACAACTCACCAGAACATCTCTTCTAAAAATTATCTCCATCAGAAAATCAGTTTGTGTTGACTTGGTAGCTAAAATGGGGCACAAGTAGGCTCTCCACTCTGGTAACACATTTTTCTCATGTGCCCAAGACCATGATTAAAACAGGAATAGTCACTCAGCCCATCCTGAGAGCTGTATGGCTTTTCTCCAAAATTTGTTTCACTATAAAGATTAGATCTGTTTCAGGAAAAAACACCTGAGAATTTAAACAAGTCACTACTTCTGACACAAATGTTTCTAAATCTACATCACTGGAAGTGCACGTTGTTTAAAAGGGGAAGTCTTTTCTTCCCCAGCAAAGTCACCATGAGGGAATTTAACTTTCAAAGGCTATTCAGACACTCAGAGGTGCCAATCAGCAGGCATGTTTATCTCAGGGCTCTGCAGAAGAGCATTAATCACATTAATGTCGATCCCTTCAGGGGTCACAATTTTTGACTTCTAAAACAAGCTCTCTGCTCTGCTAACAGTTCAGGGCCTGTTCACCTGGAGCTGTTCTTACTCTCTCCAGTTTTAGGCTGTCAGTGCCAAACCCCAAACCTGACAAATCACCCAATTCTAACAGAAGAGGGTTCCTCTGGAAAAGGAAGAAATGTTTCACATTATCAGACAGAGCAAACCCAGGCAGTTATGGCAAACTCTCACTAATAACAGCCTCTGTTTTCTCCCTGGAAACTGCAGAATCACCGTAGCCTTTTCCAAACCACACCTACCTTGGCAAAGGCCGTTTTCCAAATGCCTGTCGAGTGATTAAAGCATTCCTTACGTAGTATCACACCAAGAGCCCTGCCTCGAAATCAGCCCCACTTTCACATTTTGTATTGTCTCAGTGCAAGGCTTCATAAGCAGCTCAGAAGAAATGCAGGTCCCTCCCACAATTCAGCCTCTTCTCTCCTTCGTTCTTTTGTGCATCCATGCCACTCGCAGGGATTTCCCTCCCTCTCACATGGGGACACGACAGAGAGGAAAAAAGAGGAACTCCATGAAAAAACAAACATAGTTTTCTGAGTTGATAAAGGAGAACAGTAAACTTCAACAGTTTGTATAAATATAGTACTCCTTTGCCTTGCAAATGTCAGTTTTATTCTGGATTGCAAGCTCCAGTTCCTGTGAGGCACTCAGTCCCTCAGTGGTGATTCAGCAGGACTATCTGGTAGGAGGGGAATAAAAAGCAGTGGCAAAACCAGGGAGCAAAAGCAACTCGCCAGAGATTGTCCTGTGTTCCCTGGAGATGCAGCACACTGGAACTGCCCTGCGTGCTGCAGGCAGCACTGCCCTTCCTACACAAGCAACACAAGCTTGTTTTGATTCCTTCTAGGACAAAACTCATTCACAGCTGATTCCCACAATGCCTAAGCTGACTCTGCCATCCTCCCCGGTGTTCCCAATCTGCTGGCATACCCAGGATGAAGCTGCCAAGGACTAAGGCCATTCACATTTTGCACATTAGGGCTTGCTTTGCTCTGCAATAGTTAGTTCTGACCTTTAACTTACATCAGCTGAACACATGACACCAGCCTCACACCTCCACTGGTGGTAAAACAAAGGCCAGCCCTACAATATGTCCATCCCTGTGGGGAATGGAGTGCGGAGCAGTGCATGGTCCCCACTGCAACCCCAAGAGCCTGCAGGTGGATGACCACAGCCTGGCTGTGCTGAGCCCACACCTGCAGGAGAAAAGCCACGGTGTCAGACTGCAAACCAGCATCTACAGACACCATTTATATTATACAATCCTCATGGCACCTTAGGAAGACTAAGTGCAAGTCTCCCAAACACTTAAACACCACAGACTGTACTGGCACTGCCTTGGGAAGCTGATTGCAACAGACTTTTACTGCCTGCAGACAAAAGAACCTCAGCCTACCAGGTTTGACTACTGCAGCACTGCTCCCATGCAGTAAAGCCTCACTATTTTACCCTACACACAAACCCAGATGTCAAACCTGTTACAGATGTTCACCCAGGAACAACTGCTGTGCTGGCTATCCATCCAAGGATGTCTACACTCCTGCCTCTTCTGTTTGGGTCTACTCCACAGCCAGGTGACTCTGTTTTAGGATGGGACTGTAAGTGTCAGATGATGTCCTTCACATTATTTCAAAACACAACGCCTCAGATCTCCAGGCAAGTTCCAAGGATTTCTGCATCACCTCCCTTTTCCTATTCACAAGACCCATCTCAAACAAGACACTGCAGGATATGCAGTTCTTATCTGCACAACCTAAGATCCTCAGCTAGATCTTCACCAGCACTCACTTCTTGCTTTAAAAGCTTCTCAGATTCAATTTACAACTGTGCAAGCAAACTCTGAGCCACTCAGCACTCAAACTGGCTCCTGAACTGACCCTTCATATTTCCACACTAGGAACACTGTACAGCTGATTCCTCAGCACTGAAACATTCCCTCAAAGCGTGACACAGAGAGGATTTCAGACTCCTGCTTTTCCTCTGGTTTGTACATGCAGATTAACAGAACTGACACCAGTAAAAATCTACATTTGTTCTCCTCCTCAGGCAGAAACCAAGACTTTCTCAAAGTACTCAGTGACAAAACTGAGAAGGTGTTACATGAGTGACCCTCCCCAGAACAGGATCTCACACTCTCCCTAAGACTACAGGACATGGAGAATGTCATTTCATGTAACTGTGCTCTCAGTTCAAATTGGTGCTGAAACTGCAACACACCAAAATAGAAGCAGAAATTATGAATATGAGCAGTTTAGCAGAACAGAAAAAATATTTTCTATAATAAAATCGATTTGAATTACCAAGTGCAATTAAAGAAATAAATGCTCATTACTGAAAACAATTCTTTTCAGTCATTTGATCATGTCCTATTTAGCTGTTCTGGTTTCCCCTTTTTTTTCTCTTGTAACACACTAAAGGTAAAACACACACATTCCTGAACACCAAACAAGCAGAAATATTTTGGAAAAAGGTTTGAGTCACATGAAATAAAGCAGTTTTTTCTTAAATAAAGCAACATTAATGGAAACCTACTTTAATGAGACTCCCATTTTTCCTCCAGCTGAAAATGTGCAGTCTTTAGGAATGTAAGAATTTAATGTAGATAAATATTACCCTCAGCACCTCTGCAAGAATTACAAAAGACCTCAATTTTAAAGCAAAACTTCAAAGGCTTAAAAAAAAGCTACAATTAACAAAACCAAGGATCTGTGCTTATACTCACCTAGAAGAGACTTGTTGTATATGTGGCCACAAACATTCCAAACACTGATGAACAACTACAAGGAAGGAAAAATAAGTCATGTGATTTCTCAGACTAAAAGTAGTTCATAGTTCAGAAAAATATTTTCTCTACAATCAATGATATCCCAATAACGGAATAACACCTCTAGAACATGAATTTAATGTGGAATTACTTCATTACAGGTCAGGAGGCTGCTGTGATCCAGATCAGAGAGAAAACTTAAGAGACCCTTACAGACACACAGATATTCCCTCTGCATACCCACATCAGATTTCTCCATCGCTTATTTACCCTTTGTCAAATAAAAGCCACCAGTAACTTTATTATTACTGCTCCTCTGGTGCACCAGGTACTGCAGCATTAATTAACCACCCATTAACTAAGCAGTGCCCTCCTGGCAAGGAAGACAAGCTCAGTGGATGAGCTACACTCACCATGCAGCAGAAGGAGCTGCGTTTTGCTCATACAAGAAAGGAACCAAAAGGGTTTCCCCAGAACAGTTTCTTCATCCATAAATCCAATTCCTGCCAATACACAAAGGCTTCCCTGCACAGCAGGAGTGGCACAAACAGCCACCTGCATTGTTCCCAGAAGCCCAGTTTAGGCTGCAGATTGGGCACTCCAATGGCGTTTCTCCTGGTTTCTACCCAAGTGAAGCTGTGCAGAACCTGTCATGGTTTAGGAATGGTACTGTCCAAGTCAGTGTTCCCACTGAAACCACTCCAAGCCATGTGGCACCCCCTCACTGCCTCTCCTGCTCCCCATCCCCTGCAGTGGCTGCAGAGTCAGAGGCATGAAAGGTAAAGATCACAGGTTGAGATAAGAACAATTTACTGGAAACAGCCATGAGATAAGAAAACAAACAGTAACAGCAACAATATTCATAACAATAGTGTACAGCAGAGGTGAGCAATTCACACGTGAATGTTCCCTTCCCAGCCATGCCAACCCAGCCACCCCCAGACAGTAACAGTAAGGTGGTGCAGATACACCTCCAGGTCCTGGCCATGCCCCCTCCTGGCTACTGCCAAAATTAGCCCTGTCCTATCCAGAACCAGGACACAATCCATCCTTTATTCTATACCATCTACATCATGCAAAAATATATATACACACACACACAAGCACAGGTATCATTTCCACAGTCAATGGCAATCCCTCCAAGCTGTCTGTTGAGTTTTTGGCCCACGATGGTGAGGTCTGCACCTCCCAGATGTCTGCAGGGCAGGAGGGCTGGGGTGCTCTTGGTTGGGTCAAGCTGCAGAAGGAGCTCACGACTGATGTGTCTGGGGCAGTCCATCCCCACTGTCCACACACTGGCAGTGCCATTCAGCAACCAAGGGGACTTTCCCTTTGAACATCAAGCCCAGCATCACCCCTCAGGGTGCCAGAAGGAGCTGTGCTTCAGTGCCAATCACCTGGGAAGCAGCAAAATCGCCTTCAGAAGCTGCCAGGATCTCTTTTTCAGTTAGGGTGTAACAGGCCTCGGATCCTCTGCATCCTTGACTCCAGAACCCCAGGGGTTGTCCCTGAGTGTCCCCAGGTACTTTTTGCCAGAGATTCCAGGAAGGACCATCCTTTGCAGCTGCAGAGTAGAGCATATTTTTCATTTCTTATCCTGTCCTGACTGACCCAAGAGCAATGTCCTGTTTAATTTGTTCAAAAGCTTGCTGTTGTTCAGGACCCCACCTAAAATCCTTCTTCTTCTAGGTCACTAGATAGAGAGGGCTGACAATCTGACTTATCTGGAATATGCATCCTCCAAAAACCCCCAAAGCCCAGGAAAGCCTGTGTTTCCTCCTTGCTGGTTGGTAGGGATACAGCTGTTGTTTTGATGATCATGTCCATTGGAATCTGGCGAAGTCCATCTTGCCATTTTACTCCTAAAAACTGAATTTCCTGGGCAGGTTCCTTGACTTTAAAGCCAAACTGGCCTTCAGAAGGATTTGGATTATCGTCTCCCGTCTCAAGAACTGCCTCTGCTGTGCTGCCCCACATGATGATGTCATCAATGCACTGTAAGCTTCTGCAGCCTCACCCTTTTCAGTGCCCCCTGGGTCAGTCCATGTGGGGCTGTGTTTCCAGCCCCGGGGCAGTCGGTTCCAGGTGTACTGCACACCCCTCCCAAGTAAAAGCAAACTGTGGCCTGCACTCTGCTGCCAAAGGGATGGAGAAGAACCCATCAGCAATGTCCATAGAGGCACCACTTGGCTGCCTTGGTCTCCAGCTTGTACTGAGGTTCCAGCATGTCTGGCACAGCAGCATCAGTGATGGTGTCACTTCATTCAGGCCACGATCGTCACTGTCAGCCTCCCCTCTCCACTGGATTTACACACTGGCCATACAGGACTGTTCAAGGGGGAGCGAGTCTTGCTGAGCACTCCCTGGCTCTCCAGTCCATGGATCATGTCCTGGCTGGGGGTCACAGAGTCCCAGCTCGTGTGGTGCTGCTGACACTGCACTGCTGCGGCAGCAACCAGTAACCGCTGTTCTTCAACCCTCAGCAATCCCACAGCACAGGGGTCTTCTCAGAGACCAGGCAAGGTATATAATAGCCTACTTGTCTTCAGAGAAAGCCCAGCAATGCCCTTTTGGGTCCTTGAGATACCCTCTCCTGAGGTATGCAAAGGCAGTCACAAGGGAGTGTTTTTACCATACATTTCCAGTCAGACTCACTTCAACCTCCAGTACAGGCAGCTGTTGGGATCCCCCTGTGACCTAGAAATAGAGATGGATTCTGCCCTACATACCCTGACAGCACTGGGGCACACTGTGCACCAGTGCCAACTAAAGCCTTACACTCCTGTGGGTCTGATGTGCCAGGCCATTGATCCACACAGTCCAGCAGATCCAGCTGTCCACCTGGCTGGAGACAGGGACTCTCTGCTTCTGGTCACAGCTCTCATTGCTCACTTGTAAATAGGAACTGCAGGTCCCTTCAAGAGGATGGGAAGTAACATCAGCCCTCCTGTTCTGTCAGGAAACTAGCGCAGCATTTACCCCTGAAGGATTTCCTGTGGTGGCTGTTCTCCCTCTCAACTCACACAGTACCTGTGCTGCTGGGGCAGAGGAGGGTTTTCCATCCCACTGCATCGTATCCTCTCCATGGTCATGCAGGCAAACCCACAGGTTACCTCACAGTGACCCCTCTCTCTCGAGCTGGGTGGCTCCTCTCCCAATGGCAGAGACTCCGGTTATACCAGCAGGGGACATTTCCTGTTTGCTCGAGCCTTTCGATCTCTCACAGCCTTGGACACCCTTTCCACAGCTGAGGTGCAGATTGGTAGGAGGACTCTGTTGCCAGAGTCAGATCCCCTGAAACCCTGTTTGTCCTCCTTCTGCCATTGACATCAATGCCAGTGAGCTGGTGTATGACAACAGCACGCTCTGTACAAACTTGTGCCACATGGATTGTGTGCACTCGACCTCCTCTGGATGTACAGGGATTCAAATCAAAAGAAGTCTCCTATGGATTACCTCCAACACAGCCAATTCTCTCAGGCACTGGACACCTTTTTCCCTGGCATTCCACCACCTGGCAGGTTGCATAAACTTTGCACCTCTCTGCAACTGCCACAGCATTTTTCTTCCACGTATTTTATCACTTCATCAGGGTCCTGTAGTTGTTCAGCGATGAACTTCCAAACCATCAGAAGAGAGAGGTCCTCCAAATCCTGGCCCATGCCCTCCCACATTCCATGCCACTCATGACTATCCACCCTCAGGGCAAATCTCTGAAAGACCTCCCTAGAAATATCTTCCTTAATTCTAAACGTGGTGTGGACCACACTGAGGAGACTTGAGAGACTTAGCAACCAGAACAGGTTTTCCTTAACATCCAAAGGGAATTCAAAATTCACAAAAGGTGTTGTAACATGCCTGAAGCAGAAAAAGGGATTGAAAAGCTGGGGAAGATCATCCTTCCCTCTCGCCCCCACAGACTGGGTGTGATTATTAATGGACTCCCAAAGGTAGCACCCAAGGTAACAGCAACAATATTCATCACAGAAGTGTACAGGGGCGAAGGATTCACATCATTCACCACTACAGGCAGAGCCCAACAACAGAGACCAGCAGGCCCAGCCCCTGCAAAAACTAACCCTGTCCTGGCCAGAACCGGGACAAACCACTTCAGGATGCTGAATGCACCGAGTCTAACCATCCCCAAAAAAGACATTATTGCCCGGCCTAATGGGCACCTGTGGGCTCAAAGTGCCTTCGACAACTAAAAATTAAATGTGGAAAAGGAAAGGACTGTTTCTAACTGCCACTCTACACTCCCCCAGAAGCAAAACCAACAACAATCCCACAAAACTCCTTGGACAAACTGACATCCACAGTGGGACTACACTGAAATATTTGGTCTAGGGTGTGCTGTAGCAGCCTGAGGTTGAACCTCCTG